CAGAAACCAACTGTGGGGTCTCTCATCTCTGGTTACAGGAAAGGAACTCACTCTAGTTTCATACTCAGAATTAGAAATCACTCTTTAACCAAATTCAGAACTTGCTTTCAGAAAATGGCCTGGAGGTGAGAGAACTAAAAGTCACTGAATAAAACTCCCACACCGCGGAACTATGTTTTATTCTATTTTAACTAACACTCCAAAAGTGTGATACTTCACTTCACTTCATTTCCTTCACACGTTTTCCCAGACTTAGTTTCCCCAAATTGAAAGAAGCTTCCTCATTTTTATATTTGTTTATTCCTTGGTTTGATGAATAGTGCTTCCAAATATAAACAGCATCCATGGGCTACAGAAGCCAAAGGAACGTGAAGCACGTGAGAAACACGAGCACCTCCAGGCTTACACCTGAGAGAACTCTGTGTCCCGAGTAAGTGTTATGCAAACACGGAGCACTAACACGGACTTTTTAAATTTTCTACTTCGGCCCCCTGCAGGGCAGCGCCATCCGCACTGTGGGAAGTGGCCTCTATAAACCCAAGCAACCTGGACTAGTTGACCACTATATTCTCCCTTTTTTGGTTTTCTTTTTCAACTTTTCTTTAAAAAAATCTATCTAATTGTAGCAAAACACACATGACAAAAAATGATTTAAAGGATACATTTTAAAATGTACAGTTCTGTGGTATTAAGGTAGATGCTACAGTAATATTATCTTTATTAAAGCTGAAATACTTAATAACTTACGTATAGATTCCATATATTAGATATTACCAAAAAAAAATTTTTAATAGATTTATTTTTATTGATGTTTTTACAGAGAGGAAGGGAGAGAGATAGAGAGTTAGAAAGATCAATGAGAGAGAAACATCGATCAGTTGCCTCCTGCACACCCCCTACTGGGGATGTGCCCACAACCAAGGTACATGCCCTTGACCGGAATCAAACCTGGGACCTTTCAGTCCGCAGGCTGACGCTCTATCCACTGAGCCAAACCGGTTTCGGCACCAAAAAATTTTTAAGATAATAATCTTTATATTGCATCTTATACTATCCAGTTCCAGATGGATTAAAAATGCAAATGTGAAGAACACTACTTAAAGAGAAAACTATAAAAAAATCTTTATGACCTCAAAACAGAAAAGGATTTCTTTTTTTAAAAAAAAAATGTTTTTATTGATTTGAGAAGGGAAGGGAGGTTGAAAGATAGAAACATCAATGAAAAGAGAGAATCATTGATCAGCTGCCTCCTGCACGGCCCCCACAGGAGATTGAGCCCACAACCCGGGCATATGCCCTGACTGGGAATCGAACCATGACCTCCTGGTTCATGGGTCAACACTCAACCACTGAGCCACACCAGCTGGGCAAACAATACAGACACACACACACACACACACACACACACATACACAATACACAAAGCACAAATTAATAGATGAAATTAACTATATTAAGATTTAAAATGTCTATATCCCCAAAAGATACACTAAACACAGAAAAAGGCAAGCCACAAGTGAGAAGGGATTTGAAGTGCATTTAATGGACAAATAAAGAATATAGAAAGAACTCCCTAAAATTAATAAGAAAATGACGAAAAAAGAAGTTACAGATTGATAAAGGACATGACAGGCAAGTTACAGAAAAGGAAACACAAATAGATGTATGTGAAGTTGTTCAACTTCACCAGAATCAAGGAACTGTGAATAAAAACCACAATGAAAGACAATCTAACATCCACCAGGTTGACAAAAGTATTAAAGCCTGGTTGTATCAAGCACTGATGAGAATATGAAGCCTGGGCAATTGTCACTCACTGCTGAGGGCGGGAGGGCAGCTAAAATGGTAAAACCGCTTTGGAAGGCAGTGTGGCAACTTTGCAGAGAACTAAAAATGTACACATCCCTCTGTTACCCAGGAGCCCCATCTGGGAGTCACCTACACACACACACACACACACACACACACACACACACACACACGGAGACATATACAAGAAGGTTTACTGAAACACTACCTGTCACCATGAAAAATTAGAAATCCCTTAAATATCCATAGGAGACTGAAGAAATAAGTTATTTTACAGCCTTACAATGGATTATTATAATAACAGTTATTTTCAATCGCTTTCATCCCATGGTACACAAACTGATTATTGAACTTCTGCGGCACACCAAAAAATGTTTTATTTTTTGTCGATCTGACAAAAAAAATAGGTATAATTTTGATTCATTCACATGAGATGGCTATTGTTGTGTTGGCTGTTGTCATTTTTTTATTTGACAACCTAAGAGTGAAGAGGCTGGTGCCCCTGATTAAATAGGGATTGCATGTTTTAGAAATTCTTGCGGCTCACCAGTTGCAAATCGCTGTAATAGCAGTTAAGATGAACAACTGTCGTAGCAATTTGGATAACTCTAAAAAACTGGTTTCATACAGTGAACTGCAAAATTATATGAATAATATAGTATCACAGTTAAAAAGCATGCAGAGTAGTTTCACATAGTGTGTGTGGACCCACGCACATACCTGTGTACTCGCCTGGTACTTGATCCTGCGGAAAGGGATAGCAGAAAAGTTTCTCAAGCTTGCTAGTGGTACGTGGGTTATTATTGTGTTATTCCATATTTCATTGCACATAAACCCTTTTATAATTCAGGGAAATCATTTCTTTGATAGAAGGTGTATCGCTTTAAACTAGGACAGTGATCACTGATTGGTAAGAGAGATAATAAGTAGGAAGATGAGAAGGTGCTTTTGTTTCCTCTTAATTCTTCAGTTACTTACTGTTCTCTTTTAATATATTTTATTGATGTTTTACAGAGAGGAAGGGAGAGGGATAAAGAGTTAGAAACATCGATGTTTGATGAGAGAGAAACATCGATCAGCTGCCTCCTGCACACTTCCCACTGGGGATGTGCCCGCAACCAAGGTACATGCCCTTGACCAGAATCAAACCCGGGACCCTTCAGTCCCCAGGCCGACGCTCTATCCACTGATCCAAACCGGTCAGGGCGTGTTTTCAAAGTTGGAGACAGTCACTTGAGAGTTCCCTCTTATCAATAAATATTATGTATCAGTCAACATTACCAGATGATGGTGGGCCCAGGTACTCACTGCTTATAGTTTTTGCCATCTCTCTCTTTTCCCGAATGAGCTGCTTCCGTCTCTCCCGCCACTCTTTGTTGAGTTTCTGCTGCTTGGAGTTCTCCTCCTGGAGCTGCACGATGCGGCCTTGGAGCCGACTCAAGGATTGGTTAGAAAAGACCAGCGTTCCAGAAAGGTCCGTAGGTATTTCCCCAAATATCACATACTCTATCTGACAAAAACGAAACCAGACAAAAATCAAAGCAAAGACCAAACTAAACGTGCAGTCACAGAGAGCACAGGGCAAGCAGTCCCTTCTGCTCCTTGTTTAGGTCATTGTCGCTGGCCTGGTATTCTTCTCACCGCTAAGGAGGGTGACAGCAGGAGGTTGCCTGCGGAGAATAAGCACATTATAATTATCCCTCTGGGGCCGGCAGATCTGTCCACTCAGATCATGGCTAACGTCTACTGCACAACGATGAGACGGACAGACATTCCAGGGCTGGCACATTAGGCAAATTGCTACAGACAGCTGACCCAGTTTGCGTCAGGTTACACAGAGCAAATTACACCTGAAACATCGCTGAAGGCAAAAATGACAAAACTGAAACGGTCCTAGTTAGGGCACATCGCGAGAAGGCAGGAAAAGACAATGATGCTGGGAAAATAGAAGGCAGCAGGAAAAGAGAGAAAATATGAGACGGATTGACTCCATAAAGGAAGCCACAGGCACGAGTCTACAGGAGCTGAGCAGGGCTCTGAAGACAGGACACTGCGGACATCCCTCATTCATAGGGTCACCGGGGGCCAGAGCCAACTCAACAGCACGCAACACAGATGCATGTATACATAAGGCTGATCCTCGGTTTTTCTTCCAAAATACTGCGCTCTCTCTCTTTACCTGACAAAATATAGTATGGCGAGCCTTTTCTCTCACTGATATGTATCTCTGTCTTTTAAAATATTATAATTCAAGTGGAGGGTGGAGATGAACACAAAATGGGGAAAAAGAAAATTTTTCTTTTGTCTTGACTTTTGTCATTAACGAGTAGAGATTGCGGGAAGATCATTCTTGCATTATTACTTCACGTCTATTTAAAGATGGTGTGAAAAGTGATACGTGTGCAAGATCCGAGATTTCACCTGCCAAGCCACTCTACTCCTAAGTCCCAGGCTCACCATTCTCCTGAAATGATTCAACTTCCACAGCTGAACAGCAGGCCGCCGGGAAACACACGTGCTTTGGTGTGACTGGCGTGTCACTCTACAGGGAGAATTCTCAGCAAAGGACTGCTCTTCCCCCCACCAGTGACCCTTGGGAAAGGCCTGGGTGGGGTGGTTCTGCTCAGACAGAGGGGGACAACCTCTCTGGGCCCCTCACCTGGTGGAGCTTGAGCGGAATCACAACCAGAATTTCATTCAGCTGCTGCTGCTTCTCTCGTTGATAGGCCTCCAGGTCCTCCTCTGCTGCGTTCAGATTATTCGCCACAATTTTGACCTGTGGGCAGCCCCATGAGTGAAATGTTGACAAGATTCAGCAAACACATACCCGAGGTGGTAAGTGAGGGCATCTTGGGAGGAAGGAGAAGCATGAGCAGGATCTGCTTTGCTGGGCTGGGATGAAATGGGTGATTCCAGTTTGCAGCCCAGAAATGTATGGTATTTTCATCCTAAGTCGTGACCTACACCACTTTTCCCATCACTCCTATGTCCCCAGAGTGCAGAGGTCTGGTGAATGTGAGCTCAGAAGGCATGTCCTCATCTCCCTTCTCTTTTCACGTGAAAAGCTGCTTTTGGTACAGAGTGTCTTTGTCAGAATGGTTTGAATCTTGTTTGGTCATAGTAGGCTCGATAAGTTAAAGGGAAAAGCCTTTAAGGTGACGAAACTACTAACTACAGTATTTCTGAAGCACATCTTCATCTCCTAAAAACTTGAACGTTTCCCAAATCATTTCCTATTTGAAAGAGGAGAAGCAATCTATCAAAAATATTTCTGAATATCAATCAAGTTAAGTGATGTTGCTTTAGGAAAGATACCCAAGAGGGAAAATGAGCAGATAAGGGAGAAATTAATCAATAGAATTATACCAAAAGGTTAGCTAACTGGTCTCCGACATGGGATGCACACAACCCAGAGTTAAAAAGTGAAGAAAGAAAATATCTGAGTTTCTATTTCTATTTACTTTTATCTTATTCTTTTTAATTTCTCTTTTTGTGAATGTTTCATATTATACAGAACACAGTTGACCCTTGAACAATGTGGGGGTGGGGGTAAGGGCACCAAGCCTGCACAGTTGAAAATCCGCATATAACTGAAGTCAGGCCTCCACATCCATGGATTCCCAATCACAGATTCCAAATACCGTTTTCCATCAGTGGTTGGTTGAATCTACAGATGCCAAACCTGGGGGTACAGAATTGACTGGGGAAAAAAACCTCTGTTATAAGTGGACCTCTGCTGTTTAAGAGTCAACTGTATATTGTACAATAGTGCATAAGTACAACTTATATATAAATATACATTTATTATGTGGGTACAAGCACCACACTTTTTTTTTTTTTACATATAGAACTATGTAATCATAAAAGTTTGGGAATCAATGATTTAGGTAAAGAAAGTCCAATGCCCCCCGCCTCCGACTCCCCAGCATAACTGTGCTGGAAGGAAAAAAATCCTGGATGTAACATTTGAAGTGCATCTTCTCTTTGGAAAAGTCCTACATTATGTCATTGCTATGGAATTGAAATGTTCTAGCTGGGAGAACAAGTACCATGTTGAGGGCAGATAAATAGACCTGAAAAAAAGGCAAAGCATACTTTTTTGGACAATGTGTCGTATTCCTTTTTGAGGTTATCAAGAATTTTCTTCTCTTCAACTAAGGCCTCCTCAATGTCGAGCCTTTTCTCTCGAAGTTGAAGCGCCAGTTCAAAAAGACTCACATCGCAATCTGAAAAGACACAATAAAAGAGAAGTCAAATGAACGAATGAACAATAAAAGTTCATTTGTTATGGAACGTATTTCTACTGGAAGTGTGGGCTTTGGGGCTTCAGAATTATTAATGTCTACTTGTGGGTCTAACTAGCAAGATTTCATTATACTTGGGGCTCCATCATTCCAGGTGGAAACTATTACTAACCAGGATAGTAATTATGGTGCTAGCATTGATGTTCAGAGCAGTGCTCTGAGCCAGGCTTTGTGCTAGGCCCCTTATGTATGTTATCTCATTCAAGGCTCATAGGCCCTGCACGGCAGAAACTACTATTTTCATTTTATAGATGAGGACCCTAAGTCTCAGAGAGGGCATGTGGCTGACATGTGGCAGAATGGGATTCAAGTACAGTCTCTCTATATCAATTTCTGCTATATTACACTAACAGCCAAATTTACCCACCAACTAACAGATAAAGAATCCTATATAATAAAGAGGTAATATGGAAATTGACTGTCATGCCCTTGCACAAGATGGCCGCCCCCATGTGGCCACAAGATGGCCAGCAGGGGAGGGCAGTTGGGGGCGACCAAGTCGGCAGGGGAGGGCAGTGGGGGCAATTGGGCTGGCAAGGGAGGGGAGTTGGGGGCAATCAGGCTGGCAGGGGAGCAGTTAGGCATCAATCAGGCTGGCAGGAGAGTGGTTAGGGAGTGATCAGGCTGGCAGGCAGGCAGGCTAGCGGTTGGGAGCCAGCAGTCCTGGATTGTGAGAGGGATGTCTGAAGGGTCCCAGATTGGAGAGGGTGCAGGCTGGGCTGAGGGACACACCCCCCCCCCTCAGTGCACAGATTTCATACACCAGGCCTCTAGTGCGAAAATATAATAGAGTACTACAATGGAATTCAGGAACCTTAGTTCTAATCCTAGTTCTACCACTAAACTAGCTGTGGGACTGTCCAACCCATTGGATCCTGGTATAAAATAACAAGGAGCAATACATGATTTTTTAGCTCTCTTCTAATCATAAAGATTATGATTTTAAGAAGACTCTTATTTTCAAAAATCAAAACAAGATTTAAAATTTATTTGGAATTAAACTTTAAAATTTGATTTATAATTTATATAAAATGACTAGAAAAATAAATTTTAGATCAAATAGAAATTCTTTTTCTACAGAATCATTTACCTATTGAAACTGTAAGAATATTGGTCTGGATGTTTCAGACTGGTTTCACCAGTGAAAACAGTGAATATAAATTGCCAAGAATTTCCAGGAAACTGGTACAAACTGCCCTTACAAAACAGATTTGAAATATGAAAATGTGAATGGGTTTGTAAAAAAAGGGAGATCTTTGTAAAAAGAAAAAATAGTTTAAAAATACATAATAATCTTTTGTTTTTCCATAAAATGAAACTTGCTGCATAATTAATGACCCTCAATGGACTAAAGATCGTCGGCAGATCATTTGTCACTCATATATAGCCACCTAAAGAAACAGAAAATCAACCATCCAGAGAGCCCCCCCAAAGTATTCATTAGACTATATTTTGTATACCTTAAACCATCCTTTCCTTAAATATTATGATGCAATAATTGAGAAGACCAAAAAAAAAAAAAAAAAAAAAAGAAAAGAAAAGAAAGGATCTTCTTGATATGGTCAATTCATAGTTACTTCACAGAGAACATCTGGTTTTATCCAACTTACTTGATGGGCAGATAGAATCATCAAAAACCTCATCTTCAGATCCAGACTCATCTTCATCACTCTCCAAGCTGGATTCCTCCTCACTTGATTCCTCACTTTCCTCATCTTCTTCTAAGGAGGGAGTAAAACATTGCTAATAAGCACTAGTTCCTGTGTTAAGCTAAATCCCACATTTTAAAAATAAGGCATTTTTTCAATGAGTAAGTCACTAGGAGAATAGCAGAGAAAAAGCATGGAATTACTTAATATTTTAGAAGAGTTTAAAATGGTTAAAGACATAGAGACCACAAACTCAAATGCCTGCAGAAGGTTGTGCAATAGTCACAGAGGATTGAGGCCAAGCAGTCAAATTGCCTCTGCTGGGACCCACCTAACACACAATTGGTTACACAGGTCTACAATTCCTAAACCACAGTGCCCTCAAAGCAGAGAAGATTTCCACAACTTATCTGAACAGAAGGAGTGCTATGTATAATCTTCTTTTAACCCACTTAAGTGTGAATGTTCATGTGTTGATGCAGGAGGACCGAGATGTTTGATTTAGAGAACCTGCAGCAAACCCTTCTGGGGATTACTTGACAAAGACTCTCCTTTAACCAAACTTGAGTCAGCCCTACTGAGTTCTCTTTCTGACTAGTCCTTGGCCTTGGGCTCTGTCCTTGGCCCATTTAGTCCAGTTTTAGGAAGAATCATGCTATCAGTTTAGTAAAAATCCCCTACCCTTGATATCTGACCAAATTCCTTATTCCTTGCCCACAATATCTTATCACTGTGGTCTTCCTTCAGCCAAAATCCTGCCAGGTTAGTTTAGCAAAGGATTACCTCTTACTAATTTTCCATCCACTGACCCCTCACCCTGCTCCTTGGCTATAAATTTCCACTTGTCCTTGTACTCCAAGTTGCACTGATTTCTCTTTTCTACAAAATCCCATCATAGTAGTCCCCCCTAAATAAAGTCTGCCTTATTGTTCTTTAACAAGTGTTATGAATGATTTCTTTAATAATGTCATATACAATATCTTTTATCTATAATAATAAAAGCATAATATGCTAATTAGACCAGACGTCTTTCTGGACATCCTTCCTTCCAGACAAAGCCGCAGCGGGCAGGGGCCAGGGCCTAGGCCAGTGATGGTGAACCTATGACATGTGTGTCAGAGGTGACACACAAACTCATTTTTTTGGTTGATTTTTCTTTGTTAAATGGTATTTAAATATATAAAATAAATATCAAAAATATAAGTCTTTGTTTTACTATGGTTGCAAATATCAAAAAATTTCTATATGTGGCACAGCACTAGAGTTAAGTTAGGGTTTTTCAAAATGCTGACACGCCGAGCTCAAAAGGTTTGCCATCACTGGCCTAGGCCCTTGCATGAATTTCATGCATCAAGCCTCTAGTAAAATATAAAAAATTTTGAATACTAAAACACACCTGCCCTCGAGAGTTCTGGATAAGGGGTTATAGACATCTGCCACCCAACTCTGCCTCATTTTCTTTTTCTTTTTTTTCAGGGCTAAATTTATTTTTGTTGTTGACAATATTACAGATGTCCCCCATTTTCCCCGCTTTGCCCCCTTTTATATATACCTCCCCCACCCCGGCCTCATTTTCTTTTAAAACACCTTGAGGACCTCTATGAACCATAGATCACCAAATGGAAATTTGCATCTTATAAAACATCAAATTAGAGATAAGAGGTCGACCTCATACTCTGTAGATTTCTTAAATATAAGCTCTCCCATAAAATTACTTTAAGTGATCTGTACCAACTTATGCAATAAAGCATCAAAGTTTAAAATTAGACCTTAAAATTCTTACATAATAGAATTCCTCTTTGAGGGAGATGAAGTAGATCTACTTTTCCCTATTTCTCCCACTAAATATAGTTAAAAACTCTGGGCATTACTTATAAAACAAACACAAGAAGATTTTGACAAGCAGGAAGAAGGGAGATCAACTATGCATCTCAGAACTCGAGAAACAACACTCGGATGAGTTCCTTGGCCTCATATCTCAAACTCAGAGATGAATAAGTGGGCAACTTGGAAACACCAACAGCTGCAGATCAGAAAGACCCAACAAGAACTTCCTCTCTCTCGCCAAATGACCAAGAAAGAGGCAGTCTAGTAAGACATTTCGATGATAACCTAACCAAATACCACAGAGAAAAAAAATGTGGCTCCACTCCCACCCATATCAGCAAAGGCCAAGTGAGGAACCTAGACATCCACCCTTGCAAAGCTGTAATGAGGCACACCAACAGTCGCACAAGGATGGTGTCAGAGAAGGCCATGCAGGAAAGAGGGATTTATATTCCTGCTGGCTGATAACCGGCTGCCTTTTCTACCATTAAGATATTTGTAGAGACCCTATGGGTAGCCTGGACTTCCACTCTCACCTGGCAGTAACAAGGTTCCCTTCACATTCCCCCCAGAAGTGGAGTCTGAAGAGCCCTGGAGGAGAATCAAGACTTTCACCATTGCGCAGTGGTGCCAAGGCCATCCCCAACGTGTCAACAGAGATTACAAGGAGGAGCTGGGACTCCCATCTGCACAGCAGTGACAAGGAGATCACCCTTCCCTGGGGTGACAATGAAGGCTGAATACCTCCACCTAGCAGAAAGGAGTGGGCCCCCACCCCTTTCTCTGGCAGGGCAGTATTAGAGAAAGGCAAGTTAAATGAAAGATATTAATGAGATCAAGAGTCTCATAACATAATATGAAAGTTTCCAGGTTTTAGTATCAGAATAACACCAGTTTCAGAATGTGAACTGGAAAATTTTCTCTCCTCTTTGATTTTCTGGATGATATTGTGTACAATAGTAGTAATTCTTCTTCAAATGCTTGGTAGAGTTCTCCAGTGAAACTATTTAGACCATTAGATTTTATCAGGGGAGTTTTAAAATTACAAATTCAGCCCAACTGGTGTGGCTCAGTGGTTGAACGCCAACCTATGGCCTATGAGGTCATAGTTCAATTCCAGTTCAGGGCACAGCCTGGGTTTCAGACTTGATCCCCAGTAGGGGGCTTGCAAGAGGCAGCCAATCAATGATTCTCTCTCATCATTGATGTTTCTATCTTTTTCTCCCTCTCCCTTCCTCTCTGAAATCAATAAAATATATGTATACATTTTTAATTATAAATTCAATGTTCTTAATAGTTATCAAATTATCTATTTCAGATTGGATTGAGTCATGGTAGTATTTTTTGTAGAATTTATCTATTTCATCCAAGTTGCTAAATGTATGTGCATAAAGACATTCATTGTATTTCCTTGTTATCTTTTAATATCTGTAGTGTAGGTTTGTAATTATATCACCTCTTACATTCTTGATATTGGTACCTTGTTTGTTCTTTTCCTTTTATATTATTATTATTATTAGTAGTAGTAGTAGTATTTTACTCTTGCTTGAGGTTTGTCAATCAATTGATCTTCTTGAGAACAAACTGCTCTTCATATAAATGATTTTTCTCTTGGTTTTCTGCTTTCATTTTTATTGATTTCTGCTTCTATCTTTCTTCTGCTTGTTCACTTTGGTTTTTTTAAAAAAAATTTTTTTTAAGATATTTTAGCCCTGACTGGTTTGGCTCAGTGGATAAAGTGTTGGCCTGCGGACTGAAGGGTCACAGGTTCGATTCCAGTCAAGGGCATGTACCTTGGTTGTGGGCACATCCCCAGTAGGGGGTGTGCAGGAGGCAGCTGATCGATGTTTCTCTCTCATCGATGTTTCTAACTCTCTATCCCTCTCTCTTCCTCTCTG